ACCTTCAACAATAAGTCGATCAGACTTCTTGAGGCCGCAAGTGAAATGACATGTCTAGCCGTACCGTGAATTAGGGATTGGACACACCCTAGTGTCAGGGACCCAAGGCCAATAGAACATGCCAGTCAGCACCATGCACGACAAGGCTAAACGAGCAACCAGAGTCATGGACAACAACATCAAAGTTGATCTTCAAAATCTTAAGGTTGACATTCCCAGATAATTAGGCGAGGGAATGTATTGAGAAGTCTGGGAGGGCTTAAATGCAGAGGATAATTTAAGAACTTGGAATGAGGATTGAAAGGCAAGAGAACATGAATATTACCGAGTGTGCACAAATACCACTTTATCACGTGATTTCAACATTTTCCATAGTGGAAAAACGCATTGACTAGCAGAACATGTCCGTCTGCACCATGCACGACAAGGCTACCATAAATGCTTATGATTCTAGTGTATGCTACTGTATGCATTGTGCTTAGTATTGCCTAGAATTTCAAGACACTACCTTCTAGGGTTACTCCATTAATGTTACACCAGTATGCGAGGATTGATCACTCATTTATGCTTCGAGTAGTATCAATGCTTGATTGTTAGATCATCGATGCTATAGAATAATGTTATGGTTCGTAGAAGCCCACAGATAACCATATGTTATCCTAACTTACCTGTTCTTCATTTATTAGGTAATGGCATGAAGCAAAAGCAAGCACTAGCTAGTTAAATCTCTATCTCAAGAGGCGCATGCACAAGTAGTGAGTGGCCTTAGAGGAAGGGATAGGGCATTACAATATATGAACCATCAATGCATGATATGAATGAGCCCTAGTTCGCATGATCATCTTCAAGTTCACAATCTAGTACAATAGCGTATCTTTACTTTAATGCATCTATAAATAGAAAATTCCTAAACAACTTTACTCTTCTTGCTTTGTTTGTTTGTCTACAGAAAACCTTTAAGTGTCTTTCATTTTCGTGCATGTATAATAGTTGGTGTGAGTAGTTATGCATTAGAAGAAGTCGAGGAATACGACCACATAGCATCCTAGGACATTTTATCACTTGCATTAACTACACAATCATGTCCCCTGCTGAGATCGACCGACGAACCCTTTATGCATGAGACAACCGGAGCTGACATCACTATAGTAGTTCGAGGTAAAAAGGTGATCGTAGATAGACCCTAGTGCTCAACGTAAAAAAACCTACGTTGGCTACAACCCGGACATCAACACATACATACAGTTATTAGCAACCCCAAAGAGTTGATCTAGCAATATTGTGTGATAAGATTCACCATTCTTTGTGTGTGAATCATGAGCGCAACAATCATCCTAAAGGATAGAGTTTTTTTTAAGTCAAAGGACGGTAGAGTTATTGGGTAGTTTTTTGTGTTATATGCAGTGGTTCTAGTACAATTGAAGCCCAGTTGAGTAGTTGATTTTGATGTCAAAGGGATTTGGTTACCTTCAGCATTCCAAAATTCTCGACGTAAATTCCTACAGAGTATTATGGCCAGTTAATTGAGCCGAAATCTCCATACACAAATGAACTTTTCCACGACTGCAAAACAAGTCATTATTAGACGATGAATCAAAGTCTACCGAATAACTTGTAATTAGCTCGAATATTATACAAGAAAATAAATAATTGACATGTATGGATCGTCAAGATGTATCATATTGCACATGTGCTTTTTTGGAGCAAAATGATGTCTTGTTTGAGAGTGTGATAGTTTTTAGTTATTTAAAATAACTATCCCTCTCGGTGTTATTTGAAAAAACTCAATAATGAGTTGATTCAAATGACTCGACACGAAATACTATTTCTCCAATATTTTTTCAATCAATTTATTTTTATTCAATTAATAAAAGGGATTATTTTGACCCAATAAGTTATTACAATAACTCATGTAAAGTAAATTATATCTCTAGGAGGTCATTTGGATGAGTGATTTACATGAGTTATTCTGGTCCAAATAACTTAGTCTGAGTTATATTCACCAGAATAACTCGTTTGGGTTCCAAAATGTGTAACGAGTTAATTGGTTATGAGTTATTTACAAATAATACAAATAACTCGAAAACGAGTATATACATATACGCGTTACTTAAACAATAAGTTCAGATAGTTAGCGTGTGGCAATCACCACGAGTTATGATCCGTGAACATATAAATCGTTTTGAGCCTTTGTTTAGATTGACTATTCCACTCCTTTCTAACTCAAAGGAAATATCTGAAATAGAGATGGTAGTTTTGCCTCATAGACATTTCTTCCACTTAAAGTTAAGGCTATCAAGTGTTTCCCCGACAATAACATACCCAAAGCGAGTTTGAAAAGTGGATCACATCGTCAATAGTGGTTGCGACTATTCTTAAAGCAAAAACCCATGGCATGGAGATATTATTGTATCATTTTAAAAACTTTGCTATGTGTTTTGTATAAAGGAAGAAACCACTATTGAATATTGATTAACCAAAAAAACAAACAATTATAGTATGAAATTGTAGCAAGAGTGTCTCTTCTTTTGTAGGGTGGAATATGGAAACACGATATTTGCTAACTCCCTAGTCCTAGCTATTGTGGATGTAAATCATCCTAATATGCTTTCTCTTGATAATTATATTAACTAAATCTACCTAGATATTGCCATATTTTGTGAACTAGTTTTTATCTGGTTGAAGAATTTCATTATATCATTTATATTAATCAATTTATTTATATGTTTAAAATTTTATGGATATTTTAGATATTTTATGCTCTTTAATAAGTGAGTATGCGTGGCTATATTGGAATTCTTAATACTTAGTAGTTAGTAGTTAACGCACTCGCTCATGATTTTCTAATCGAGAATCATGTTTTGAATGTTATCACGTCCCATTTAAGATCGTATATCAAGATGTATCAACAAAGATGCTCAAATTTGTTATCTTATACAACATATATCACTTCGTTATTCTCGAGTTGGGATGAACTCTCAACCAATTATTGAGAGTTCAAATTATTGGATCAAAATATTCTATTACTAAATACATTCTTCTTATCTCAATTGAAAATTGCCATACGTCCTGTCCCTTAGGATGATTAAATTCTCTAGTCTTCACTTATTTTCAACGTGGATGTTCATCAAGTCTAGGTATAGGATCTTATGAGAAAATTTGTCTATCATAACACTCAAATTCACTATCTTATACAATATGTATCGACTGTTAATTCTTGAAATTTGGAATCTCAATCCAAGACACTCACATACACTATCGAGGGTTCTGGTCTTAACATGGCCATTTAGTATATAATTTTTTTAACTTTTTGAATGTGCATTTGCTAAAAAAATTATATTTAGTGTTTATTCTGAAACAAAATTCCATTACTTATATGAATAAATGATAAAGTATGTCTACAACCCACAGATTCCAGGTGCATTTAAAATGATGTATCGCTAGAACAATTAATTGATAACTTTTTAAAAAATAATTTTTTTGGAAATTTAAAAATTCATACAATTAATTCATCGTTGACCGGAATATGAAAATAAAATTTTGTGGCTAGGATAGCTTAATGTAAATACAACTGTTACAAACTAAAATGTTTTCGTTTCGAGACTTTGATATCGAAAATTTTTTTGTTGTTGCCAAAATTTGTCGAAGAAGGAAACCAGTCAATGTTGGAATGATCTCAATACTCAATAAGAAATGAACCTGGCGAAGATGCTTGAGAGAGAAATGAGCCGATAGGTGAGCCTGAAAAATGGACAAGAACTGTGAATCGTTGCTAGTGAACAAGAGATCACCTACGTACATAAGAAAGTAAGGCAGTACAACATCTTGGTTGTAAACAAACAAGGAGGCATCTAAGCAAGTCTTCACAAACCCAAAGGTCACAAGAAACATACTGAGCGCTTTATTCCGATCCCGAGGAGCTTGGCGAAGGCCATAAATAGCCCAATGAAAACGACATACATGACGAGGAAAATCATGATCACGAAACCCTGGTGGTTGAGCCATATAAACCTCCTCTGTGAGAGGTCTATACAAACCGTAAAAGTAGTAACAGGTTTCAACACAGGACTGAAGGTTTCGAAGTAATCAACACAGGGCATTGGTGAAAGAATTTGGAGACTAAGCACACTCGATGGTACCATCCGACTTGCAATACGCCAATTGGGGAATGCAGGGCCTCATCCACAAACATAGGCGCAAGGGGAGGTACTATATAAGACGTTTAATGCACATCAACATACTTCATTTTAGGCTTAAAATGTTATTCTTACTCCTTGTTTGCATGACATTTGGGTAGGGCTAACTTGAAGGAGGGACTAAGGGATCTACAACTGACCGAGAAGGTATGGCCAAAGGCTGACTATTCAAGGGTTTGGGATGATAGGAAATAGGTGGAGTGAGATCCCTAACCATGTAGCGGAGGAGGGATCAACGGATGAGGAAGAAGAAGAATAAGGAACTGACACTCCTGGAAATACATGTTCAACAAAGGCAACATGAGTACATGACGAGACAAAATAGACCTGTTGAGGGAGAGGATCAAGAAATCGATAGGCACTTTGTTGATGAGATTAAGCTAGAAAGACATAGGAGTGAGAACGCGACTGAAGTTTATTCAAATTATAGGGATGAAGCTAAGGAAAAGGTGTGGAAAACTGAGAAAAAGATGATACTACTGCTGCTGCCACAGATGGTGATGTAGTCATTGTTTGTGATGCCGGTTTTGTTAACCTTGCTTGTCAAGAGAGTACATGGGTTGTTGACTCGGGTGCCTCATTTCATGTGACCTCACGGGTTGACTTTTTCTCTTCCTACACAAACGGTAACTATGGTTGTGAGAGGATGGGAAATGATGGCGCATCAAAGATTGTTGGCATGGGTGATATTCATCTAGAGACCAACACAGGTTGCAAGCTAATCTTGAAGGATGTGAGACATGTTCCTGACATGAGGCTGAATTTGATATCCACGGGAAAGCTTGATGATGATGGTTATTCCAACTATTTTGGAGAAGGAAAATGGAAGCTCTCAAGAGGTTCTCTTGTGGTGGCTAAAGGCAAGAAGGAAAGTACGCTCTACATGACAAATGCAAAGCATAGCAAGGGAGGAATCAATGTTGCTGAGAAAGATTCTTCTATTGAGCTTTGGCATAAGAGACTCGGTCATTTGAGCGAGAAGGGGCTGCAAATACTCTCCAAGAAACAACTCTTGCCCGGAGCTAAAGGTACTCTTCTTAAAACTTGTGTTGATTGCTTAGCCGGAAAAACTCATAGAGTTGCATTTCATAGATTTCCACCTTCTAGAAGGATTATAGTACTTGATCTAATTCACACCGATGTTTGTTTCATGCGAGATAAAACTCTTGGTGGTGCAAGCTATTATGTTACCTTCATCGATGATCACTCAAGGAAGGTGTGGACATATGCTTTGAAAACGAAGGATCAAGTGCTAAATGTTTTCAAGCAATTTCATGCTGAAGTGGAAAGGGAAACCGACCTCAAGTTGAAGTGTGTAAGGGCTGATAACGGGGGAGAGTATAGAGGTCCATTCGAAAGCTACAGCAGATTGCACGGAATTAAACTGCAGAAAAGTGTACCCAAGACTCCACAACAAAATGGTGTCGCCGAGAGGATGAACAGAACAATTTGTGAGAGAATCAAGTGTATGCTCTCACATGCCAAGCTACCTAAATCATTTTGGGGAGAAGCAATGCGGACAGCCGTTGATCTAATCAACCTTTCGCCATCGGTCCCTTTGGAGGGTGACGTGCCTCAACGAGTATGGACGGGAAAGGAAGTCTCATATGAGCACTTGCGAGTGTTCGGTTGCAAAGCCTATGTTCATGTTCCAAAAGATGAGAGAGCAAAACTTGATGACAAAGCAAAGCCATGTATATTCATGGGCTATGGGCGTGAAGAGTTTGAGTACAGATTATGGGATCCAATTGCAAGGAAAATTGTTAGGAGCCGGGATGTGATTTTTCTTGAAGATGAGACAAGTGAAGACATCGAAAGGGGTGAAAAGAAGAAAAATACAGCAGCTGGTCCGGTTAATTTGGAGCCTATATCTCCATCCCAGATGCATGAAAATGTTGAGGAAGTAGTGCATAATGAGCCCCAAGGTGCACTAGATCAAGAAGTGCAAGGAGAAGAGCAATTGGAGCAAGAAGAACAAGTTGAAGAAGAGCAACCTCTACCCGAACCAAGAAAGTCAACAAGAGATCGCAAAACTTCCACTTGGTACTCCCCTCATGAGTACCTATTGTTGACTGACGGGGGAGAACCCGAATATTATCAAGAAGCCATGTCTCCTGAAGACAAGGAGGAGTGGAACAAAGCAATGCAAGAAGAGATGAAGTCTTTGCAAGAGAATCACACCTATGATTTGGTGAAACTACCCAAAGGAAAAAGATCACTTAAGAACAAGTGGGTCTACAAGTTAAAGACGGAGGAAACTAGTTCAAAGCCTCGGTTTAGGGCGCGACTAGTTGTGAAGGGTTTCAACCAAAAGACAGGTGTTGACTTTGAAGAAATTTTCTCTCCCGTGGTGAAGATGTCCTCTATCTGAGTTGTACTTGGGTTGGCTGCAAGTTTGGACTTGGAAGTTGAACAACTCGATGTGAAGACGGCGTTTCTTCATGGTGACTTAGAGGAAGAGATATACATGGATCAGCCGGAAGGGTTCGAGGTTAGAGGCAAAGAAGATCTTGTATGCATATTGAGAAAGAGCTTATATGGGTTGAAGCAAGCACCAAGGCAATGGTACAAGAAATTTGACTCATTCATGGTAAAAAACGGGTATGCAAGAACTACCTCCGATCATTGTGTGTTTGTGAAATACTTTGCTGAAAATGATTTCATCATTCTCTTGCTTTACGTGGATGACATGTTGATCGTGGGTCGGAATGTTGGAGAGATTGATAGATTGAAAAAGGAGTTGAGTAAATCCTTTGCCATGAAGGACCTAGGACCTGCAAAACAAATTCTAGGGATGAGAATCTCTAGGGATCGGAGGAATGGAAAAATTTGGTTGTCTCAAGAAAGGTATATTGAAAGAGTTCTTGAGCGGTTTAACATGAGCAAGGCTAAGGCGGTTAGTACTCCACTTGGAGGACATTTCAAGTTGAGTGTGAAGCATTGTCCTACAAGTGATGAAGAGAAAGAAGCAATGAAGAATGTGCCTTATGCATCAGTTGTTGGAAGCTTGATGTATGCCTAGGTTTGCACAAGGCCGGATATTGCTCATGGCGTTGGGATTGTTAGTCGGTTTCTTTCCAATCCGGGGAAAGAACATTGGACAGCAGTGAAGTGGATTCTTCGCTACTTGAGAGGTACTTCTAGAGTGTGTCTATGGTTTGGTAATGGCAAGACCATACTTGATGGATATACCGATGCTAACATGGTAGGTGATGTGGACTCTAGAAAGTCGACTTCTGGATACATGATGACTTTTGCAGGTGCTGCAGTTTCATGGCAATCTAAACTGCAAAAATGTGTTGCATTATCAACAACAGAAGCCGAGTACATAGCTGTGACAGAAGCTTGCAAAGAGATGCTATGGTTGAAGAAGTTTCTTCAAGAGTTGGGCATCAAGCAAGAGTGGTATGTGCTCTATTGTGATAGCCAAAGTGCAATCCATCTTTGCAAGAATCCTACTTTCCACTCAAGTTCGAAACACATAGATGTTCGATATCATTGGATTCGTGATGTTTTGGAAGAGAAGTTGTTGGAGCTCAACAAAGTGCATACGGATGACAATGGTTCGGACATGATGACTAAGTCTCTACCAAGTGGAAAACATATCTTCTGTCGAGATGAAGCAGGTTTGGTGCTACCCCCCATATGACCTGGAGGGGGAGATTTGTTGGGTTGGTCCAACTCATATGGTGGTTGGATTAACCGGTTTGAGTTTGAGTTTTGGTTGGTTTCTAGAAGATTCTCTATTTTCAAAATAGAGAGTTATTGTCTACTCAAAAGTAAAAAGAGGTAACAGCCTTTCATTTTCAGAGAGAGAGAATCAAGAAAAGAGAAGAGATAAGGAAAAAGAGAGAAGAGAGGAAGAGCTGCAGTGTTTCGTTTCTGCAGCAGGGCAGCCTGTTCAAGTGAGAGTTCTGGAAGATTGAACCGTTGGATCGTCCTAAAATTTGGACAGTGGGTTTGCAATTGGCTGGGATTCATTCTGACTGAAGGGATCGTCATTCAGAGGTCTAGTTCGTCGGGAATCGCTGCTTGACAGAAGGTGTACGAATCTGTTTTTGGGTATCTCTCAACCTTTCTTTGTCTTGCTCTTGTTCCTGTTATCCACCATGTTGGTGAGAGCTATTATGGTTGATTGTTGATACAAGAAGGGTGTTATTGAGGTATTTGTAATCCTCTAGCTAGTCTAGAGAGGACTTGTAATCCCACCAAAGTCTAGTGGAGTTGTGGCTTGGACAAAGGTCCCGTGGTTTTTCCCGATTTGGGTTTTCCACGTAAAAATCGTGTGTCTTGTGCATTCTATTCTTGCTTGTGGTTGCTGTCCGGTTTCTCAACAGTGGTATCAGAGCATTAGGTTGTTTGGGGGCTGTGTTTGGTGAATGGCAAGAATGGATGACTCAAGTGGAGCAATGATTAAGTTGACATCATCCAACTACTCTATTTGGAAGCCACGGATGGAGGATATTCTGTTTTGCAAGGATCTCTATGAGCCAATTGAAAATGGCAGCGAGAAGCCGGAAGACAAGACCGAGAAGCAATGGGAGGTCTTGCATAGAAAGGCGGTGGCAATCATTCGACAATGGATTGACCAAAGCATCTTTCATCATGTTGCAAAAGATACAAGAGCAGATGAATTGTGGCAGAAATTGGAGTCCATGTATGAGAGGCAATCGGCTCAAAATAAAGCCTCACTCATTCGAAGAATTGTGAACTTGAAGTACAAGGATGGGCATAGTGTCTCGGAGCATTTGAGTGACTTTCAAGGGCTTGTGAACCAGCTAACTACTATGAAGTTAGCACTTGATGATGAAGTGCAAGCATTGTTACTTCTTAGTTCTTTGCCGGATAGTTGGGAGACTTTGGTGGTCTCACTTAGCAACTCAGCACCTAATGGCAAGTTGACGATGGACATTGTCAAGGATAGCATGCTGAATGAAGAGGCAAGGAGAAAATAGTTGGGGATTACATCGGAGTCACATGCTTTGGTGGCGGATAATTCTGGAAGTCGTGGAAGAAGCAGAAATCGAAATTCCAACTTCAAGAACTCTCAGAATCGAAGTAACAGCCGAGGGAGATCAAAAGGGAGATCAAAATCATTGTCAAGACCAAGAGGAGAAATCACATGTTATCATTGCAATCAGCCCGGACACATGAAGAGAGAGTGCAGAATCTTGAAATGGGAACAAGCTAGAGGAAAAGGTGTGGAAAACCGAGAAAAAGATGATACTACTGCTGCTGCCACAGATGGTGATGTAGTCATTGTTTGTGATGCCGGTTTTGTTAACCTTGCTTGTCAAGAGAGTACATGGGTTGTTGACTCGGGTGCCTCATTTCATGTGACCTCACGGGTTGACTTTTTCTCTTCCTACACAAACGGTAACTATGGTTGTGTGAGGATGGGAAATGATGGCGCATCAAAGATTGTTGGCATGGGTGATATTCATCTAGAGACCAACACAGGTTGCAAGCTAATCTTGAAGGATGTGAGACATGTTCCTGACATGAGGCTGAATTTGATATCCACGGGAAAGCTTGATGATGATGGTTATTCCAACTATTTTGGAGAAGGAAAATGGAAGCTCTCAAGAGGTTCTCTTGTGGTGGCTAAAGGCAAGAAGGAAAGTACGCTCTACATGACAAATGCAAAGCATAGCAAGGGAGGAATCAATGTTGCTGAGAAAGATTCTTCTATTGAGGTTTGGCATAAGAGACTCGGTCATTTGAGCGAGAAGGGGCTGCAAATACTCTCCAAGAAACAACTCTTGCCCGGAGCTAAAGGTACTCTTCTTAAAACTTGTGTTGATTGCTTAGCCGGAAAAACTCATAGAGTTGCATTTCATAGATTTCCACCTTCTAGAAGGATTATAGTACTTGATCTAATTCACACCGATGTTTGTTTCATGCGAGATAAAACTCTTGGTGGTGCAAGCTATTATGTTACCTTCATCGATGATCACTCAAGGAAGGTGTGGACATATGCTTTGAAAACGAAGGATCAAGTGCTAAATGTTTTCAAGCAATTTCATGCTGAAGTGGAAAGGGAAACCGACCTCAAGTTGAAGTGTGTAAGGGCTGATAACGGGGGAGAGTATAGAGGTCCATTCGAAAGCTACTGCAGATTGCACGGAATTAAACTGCAGAAAAGTGTACCCAAGACTCCACAACAAAATGGTGTCGCCGAGAGGATGAACAGAACAATTTGTGAGAGAATCAAGTGTATGCTCTCCATTAACAATTTCTTTAAATGATGGTGAGTTGGCAGATGTTTTGCTGACGTGAAAGAGACATTCTCATGTGGCAGTTAACGAAATGCCACATTAGCCGATCAACCATACCAACTTATTTATTAATTAGTTATTTTAAAAATTTAAAACAAAAGGAACTGGCGGTCGTTTCTTCTTCTCTTCTTCTTCGCCCCTTCCTCTCTATCGTAGCCAGTTCCCCACAATTGTAGAAACTAGAAAGAAAAGACACCAATTCTCCACTTTCAAGCAACATGTGAACTAAAAAAATTGGGAAAGGATATCGGAATTGATTCTGCTTCTTCAAACCAGAAGGAGGAAGGGTAGGTCTCTTCCGCTGCAGTCATAGTTGTCGAAGGCCGCAAATCCACCACGAGGTTCAAGTTCTCCCGCTTCAATCGACGTCACTGGCATGATTAAGTGAGGTGCAACTTCCACCACAGTTGTTGGTGCTGCGAAAAGGGTAGGATCCAGAAAGGGTCGGAGCTTGAGGGCATGGATCTGGGAAGTCGATAGGGATCCGGAGCTTGAGGGTCAGAGCTTGGGGCGGATCGATACGCGGTTGGTCTGGGTCACTGTTGGGACTTGGCTGCGGTGGAGGAATCGGAAGAAGATGTCTCTTGTCGGTCCCCATTTCCTTCCGGCGGGATTTTTCGGCGTCCCCTTTTGTTTAGCGGGGCTTTTTCTCTCCCTGTTCCCATTTTCTTTGCGATCGCTGCGTTTTCCTAGGAAAAGATGCGACCTTCGGTGGTCGTTGGCAGGGGAGAAGTATTTTTTCCATTAGTGGCTGATGACTCAATATTTGCACATGTTTTCCCCATTGTTTCTTAATCGTTTAAGCTTGCATTATCGCTTCTTTGGCCTATTTTACGCTAGGTTGTGTTCCTTTGTCACATTTCAGGTCCTAGCACATAATGTGAAGCATAGGCGCAAGTTTCAAGTCAATCGGAGATCAATTGGCGATTCGGGAGAAGAAACTCTGGCATGACCTGAAGAAGAATGGATTTCTACCTCACTTTATGGACAAAGAATCGTTCAAGCTTGTCATGAAAAGAAAGAGGAAGAGACTACGAGCGTCTGGGATCAAACAGCGACTGATTCGGAGTCCGGACGAGGGAGAAACGAAGCATTAAATATAGGGGAACAAGTTCGGCAATAAAAACACGGGCAGGAGGCCTTCAGAACACGGCCGTGTAATTAACCCTAGCCAAAGCACGGGCGGGCTGAGGCAAAGCACGGCCGTTCCCTCGACCGTGCTTTGGCCACTGATGCCCTTTTAGGCAGATTTTCAGCCAAAAGAGGGGGGATTCGAGTTTTAGAGAGACAGAGCGATTCCTAGAGAGAGAAAGCGACGAACAAGAGTCTCCAAGTGCCCTAGCTTGATCTTCATCACCATTGGAGCTTGGCTTGAGCTTGGAGAAGTGCCGATTCAACGTCCAGGAGCTGAAATCCATCCTTCACAGTATGGTTTCCGCATCTGATTCTGCTTTTGCTTCTTTCTCCATGGAGTAGTTCTCCCATTCATCTGGGTGTGGGAAACCCTAGATCTGTATGTTAGGATTGATTGTATGAACCCAAGTACTGTTTCTATGATTTGATTATATTCGATTGAGGTTTGAATGATTGAATGGCATGAATACTGATCAAATTCCTGTTGTTTCTGCTTTAACCTAGAATGATAATATCTGCCTAGGTTGATAGAGTATCCTTAATCGAAGGTAGTGAATTGGTGACTTTAGTCGAGGAGCCAATTCACTATTCTGTACCGAATTCAATTCGGTAGTGGAGGTTTTGTTCATAGGGCCTCAATCTGTTTACTCCGGTGGAGGTTAGTCGCCCGCTAGAGACTCAGATTGAGAGGGTCTGAAGACCTTTAGTCGAGACTTCAGACTGTTTGAGAACCTTCCGCAGTATAACTATCATAGAAATTGAACTTGGTAATTACAATCCGGCTTAACTGCAGTCTAGGGGGAACCATATCCAGGTGACCTCTCATAACTTGAAAACAACCGTTTAGTTGCTTTGCTTGCTTGTTAGTTTAGATCTTCACTAAAGTTTCATTGCTAGATAATACGAATTCACTGAGTAGTCATCACATCTAGGACCCGAGTTGATATTAAAACCCAAACCCGCTATACTACGCTTTAGGAAGTGGTTACACTTGGCCATTTTCTAGAGTGACAGTAGGAGTGAGTCAGTGGCTTTGCGGAGGAATAAGAGGAAGGGGGGAAGAATATGAGGGGAAAGCAGGGGAGAAGAAACACGACCCTCCAGTTTAGGCTTTTTCTAATTATAAATAAAAAATCATTTGATGTGGAAGGTGATGTGGCTGCTGACGTGGCATTTTCCTTTATAAAGTTAATAACGATAACGAATTGTTATCCATCCATTTATGGGCAACAATAATTATGACTAATAATTAGTATTTTCATAGTTAGGACTATTATTTTCCTCTTCTTATTAGTTCTGGCTAATATATTGTATTTACCCTTTATTTTTTTCCATTTCATTAAACATGAATATGAGCACGACACGATAGGGATGACAATTTCGACCTGACCCGTTTTACCCGATCTGTTTGACCTGTTTTGGGGCGGGGCGAGGCGGGCATGGGTAGTCTCATCGACCCGACCTGCCCTGAACCGCCCCATTCTCGACCCGTTCTTGTCTAAATTACATGTAATCTTAGTCGAATTACTTAGGATTTTCCTTTTATTGCATCATATTTTTAGCTATACGAAAGTTGTAAATTAGTGAAAACCTCAATTTCTCCAATAATTTAACTACAATTGTCATAATATTGTTTGTTTTCTTAGTCTTATAATAAAAATAACGAATATTGCTAATGTTTTTAATATAAATTGCATACCCATTGGGTCGACCTGCCCCGACCCGCGACCCGAGATCAATTACCCGATCTGGACCCGACCTGCCACGGGGGCGGGTCTGGGTACCAAGAAACCCGCCCCGGACCTGCCCCATTGCCATTCCTACGACACGAGCACGAATAGGCACGACACGATTCAAACGGTGCCCGAACCTAGGCCGGTCCTAGCAAAATTAACAAATGGATTGGCATGGCAGGACACGAAATCTGACAAGCCGTCCCAAGCACGACACGAAATAAATTGGCCTGAAGCATGCCTGTTGACACGCTAAAACACAACACCAAACTGCGACCAAGTGTAATCGCAGTCCGGAAATGCAGAATAGTGGCAAGTTCTATTTATCAACTCGGGGTCTAGATCTACTGCCTACTCCGTGATTATCTATTATCTAGCAAACTAAGTCGAGTGATTGTGATTTTAAGCAAAAGCAGTAAGAAAGCAGGAAATGGTTCGGAGTTCTTAAGCAAGGGAAGAGTCACTCGGGAATGAGTCTCCCATGCTCCTTAGTTAGGTCAAAGTTGTAATTACCTTTGGTTGATTTACTGTAGATTAAACTGCGGAAGATCCGACAGTAGCTTGGAATCTCTTAAGCTGACCAAGCCCTCTCAGACAGGCTAACCGGCAGGCGTCTAGCCTTCACCGGGATAGACTGCTGAGGCAATAAACACAGAACTCCACTACTGGAATTGGATTCTAGTACAAAGCAGTAAATCGATTAACTCTCCTATAACCAATCTACTACTACCGATTGATGAAGCTCTAACAACCTAATCAGATTCTATCATTCTCAGGTTGCAGCAGAAATGAAGAAAAGATGATCAGGCTTCAATTGACTCAATGAATCATGCATCAATCGATTAAAATCAATCAGTATATCAATCCAAAGTCAAGATTCCTAACACATGGAACTAGGGTTCTTCATACCCAAGTGAGAGAAGGTTTTACTCCATAGAGAGAGAGAGAGGAAAACAGAAATCAGAGCAGTCATACTCATAAAGATGGGGATAATCTTCTCTGGGATGTCCATCTTCACTCCTGGGGATGCAATCTTGGCTTCAATGGTGAGAAATCCACTCCAAATAGCTCCTATGGTTTGTTCTTCGCACTTTCTCTCTCTAAAATCTGTTTTTTGCTCAAATACTCGATTCCCTTTCCTTTGGCTTGAATCTGCCTCAAAAACCCGATTCTGGACAAAACACGGTCGAGGACACGGCCTTATTTAACTTTTGCCCGTCCGTGTTCTTGCCACGTGTAGAAAAGACGCCCGTGTCTGCCTAAAACACGATCGTTCCCAATAATTGACACGGTCGTGTTTTACTTCAATGGTGCCCGTGTTTTGGACTTCTCAACAGCCTCCAAGAACACTCTCTCGGCATAAAAAGCACGGTCTGAGACACGGTCGTGTTTTTCTTTAGTGCAGCCCATGTTTTGCTTCTTCATCGATTCAACTCTCGCACTGAAAAGCACTGTCGTGCTCATTTGTGTACACGACCCTGCTCTTCAGGCCTCCTGCCCGTTTTTTACCCCAGTTCGAGCGAATGACCTCCAAAAGCCTCAAAACTCGTGCCTAGCCTTCCCTTCGACGTGTGGGACCTGAAATGTGACAAAGTAGCACAACCCAGCGTAAAATAGGCAAAAAATACACGAATACGAGCCGCAAACGGATAAGAATTAAGGGTGCAAACA